TTTTTTGATCCGTAACCCCTAGATTTGTCCCAAGCTTTGTTGCATTCCTACTGCGTTATTTTTTTGATCCTGTTTTAAATTTTGTTTGATCTTTGTGGTTTAATTTTTTTGATCCTAATCTAATTTTTTTGATCCCTCACCCCTCTTGAGGACGCCGTCTTGGGTCGATTGCACTTCACAGAGACCGGGGAGGTAGTCTATCTGACCACTGCCGGGGACTGTCTGCCTGGCATCTGAGCACATTGCTTATGTACAGCTTGGTTTGCCTATGTTTGCCTAGCAGGACCTCCTTGGAAGGGGGCTTGGCGTCTGGGTCTCCGAGGGCCCAGTCGCAGGCTTTCAGCTGGACGTCTTCCAATATGAGGCCCAGCGGCCCATTTGGCACTTCAAGAGCTGCCGAGCTGACGTTACAGGCATAGCGTCGGCTCTTCTTCGTTCGTACAGCTTGTTGCGTCCATGCAAAGTGTCCAAAGTGTCCAACATGTCAACTTCGGTGCTGGCTCTGAGCTTACACTCCAGCCATTCTGGAACGGTGCGCCATCTTTGCTATGCCAGGCTGCTTCGACGAAGCATGTGCAGCCTTCTCCTCGACTGTGGTGCTTTGTGCCTGCCCGCAGTGCGGGGCATGTCGAACCTAGGACGGAGCCCCATCGCTTCAGAGGAATTGGAAAGTTTCCTGAGAAAGGAAGCTGGGTCGGAGAGTGGCTTGAACCCCAGAAAAAAGCAGCGGTCAGCGGTAAGGATCTTCGTTAAGAGTCCCGGAGATGCAACGAGGCACTTTCTTGCATTCCAGCAGCCTCCTCGAGTCGTCGGCCGCTTCCATGCACGCCGATCCTCTCCGAACCTGGCCATGCCCACCCTTTCCCAGAAGCCTCTCGAGGACCCGGATCGCTAGGCGTTCCGACGGTTCGCGCCCTTCTTGTGTGCTTGTCAGAAAGCCCCGAAACAGGGGTGCGCCTCTACACCTCCTACTTGTATGCACCGAAGACAAGACGAGACAAGAGCAAGAGAGAGAGAGAGAGAGAGAGATTTCGGTCCCTTCGGGTTTCTTCTGTTCAGGTTCCTTGACTTCAGGAAGGTTCTGTGGGATTTTGGCTCCTTTGCCCCGCCCCGCTCCTCGCCCCCTGGGTCCCTGACTCCAAGGGGAGGGAAGCCCCAGCCACCTCACAATGAAAACCAAACTCGGGGAGATGCTTTCCGGCCCGACTCTTTTGATTGTTGGTTGGTTGGCGGTTTTGATTCCTATCAGTATGCAACTTCCTTTCTTTCATTGAGCCGAGCTGATCCCCAGGAACGTAGAGCATGTAAACTTACCACTACCGGATCTCGCTCAGGTAGCTGCCGATACAGTTTTTGCAGCTAAAGGGGAATAGCCCCCAAAGCCGACCGAATCCTAACTGTGTGCATCTTTTGTGGGACCGTGTCGTAGCTTTTTGCTTTGCACAGTCCTTGATACCACATGTCGGCATGCAGCGAGACCGAAGACGAGGCCACCTTTGAGTTAGACTCAGAAGGTGTTGGTTATATTTCCATCGTCTTGAGGGGTTTTGATGCTTTCAGATGCCTCGGTGGTGTAGTTGCGTCTTTCAAGCCCCTCCAAAACGGTTGGGGGCACGACAGCGCGCGGGTTAGGGGGGTTCCCCTAGCCCACAACCCTGACGAAAGAAAGAAAAGAGAGATTTCGGAGGGTTGGGGCTGAACGCTCCCGGCCTTCCCTACCTGCTAGAGAGAGAGAGAGAGAGAGAGAGAGAGAGAGAGAGATTTGTTTGTGGACTCGCACTCCCCTCAAACCCGAAGGAAGAAGATTTGTTTGTGGATTCTGACGCCCTCGGGGAACCAAGATGTTAGCTGCGTGCCGCCTGGGTGGCGGGGGGAAAGGGACGCTTCTCCATAGGGCCACAAGCAAGCAAGCGAGAGCAGACGAGGGCTCCCGAAGTCCTTTGTGAGAGAGGTGCGCAAGGTTGGTCACAATGCAGAAGTGGTCATCAACGAATCGCTCATGCAAAGAATTGATGCAAGGCTTATGTATGATAGGTACAATACCCTGGGGGCGCCCACGGGCGGGCAGCGCAGGTAGAAGCCTGGAGCAAGGCCACGCACCCCCAACGCCGAACCCCGCTGATGCTCATGATGCGCGCCCTTTGCGGGCTTCTGCAATGTTGTGGGAGCCCCGAGTGCTCATGATGCTCGCTGGCTGGGGCCCCGAAACAAAAACCGCCATAGCCTGGGGATGGCTATGAGGGCGAGCTTCGGTTGGCTACCGGAGGGGGGGCCGTAGTGGGCAGGGGATCCGACTCATCCCCGCATAAAAGAACACATCAGGGAGCGGGAGAGAGAAGTAAGTGACGCACAATTTGCTCAATAAGTCGACATTATATACTATAGGTTAAACTGCATGATTTGCTAGCGAGTGATTCTGGGTACCTTGCTCGAAACTGTACTCCAACTTGGAAGTTGCCACAGTTGGGACGACACTTACGCAGACAGGGTGGCTTGAAGTGTGTGGAGGAGCTGCCCGAGAAAGCGAAGGCAAAAGTGGTATCCAAGCTGGAGAAGCTCACGGAGCCGTTTCCCATGCTCCACCCATCCTGGGTTCCGCATCACCTTGCAGGCCGCTGGGAGCCAGATTCTGCATTCGGCCGGACTGCACGAGTGACAGGCAAGATCGAGGATGTGCACTACGTCCGCAATTTTTTGGAGCCACTCGGGCCCTACTTCTGTGCCTTCAGCTTTGGCGCAGTGCTCCTTATTATATATACATAAATTAAATAAACAAATAAATGAGGCCGAAGCAGGTCGAGGAGTTCGTGCGAATCATTGACAAGACGTGCAGCTCGGCTCGCAAATCAAGCGTGGAAATGGCGCGCTATTGAAAGTTAGTATATAGTCTAGTAACTCTATATGTATCGTCTAGTCTAGTATAGTATAGCATTGTATAGTATAGTATAGTGATGTGTAGTAAAGTCTAGTCTGGTATAGCATAATGTTTGATATATTAGATATATTACATATATATACATACAAAAAAGTTCGGGGCTGCAGGCGACTGGGAGCGAATGCGAACACGCGACACGCAGGAGTCCGGAGCCAGGTGTTACCACTGGAGCCAAGCGGCTCAGAGCTCTTTGCCGAAAAGGGGTTAAGTGATTTTGTGTTTTGAGGTTTGGGTCGTCGGGCCAATGTCCTTGCGGTCGAAGTTTGATGAGGGCGGCGCCGAGCCCATGACAGAGAGCCCTAGCTGCAGAGGAGCCAGTTGCGGCGTCCACTCAGGCGCTACCAGCCTGGCAGAGCACCTTGGTGGATGCGCTCGGAACGCTGGGAGTCTTCCACCCAGTCCTCTTTCCTGCGAACAGCGTGCGGCTCTCAGCTCTCCGGAAGAGTCCGGCAGTGATGTTGGAGCTCAGTCTATAGGGGGCCACCTTTCCAGCTGCCTCCGCGTTCAACTTCGAAGCCAAGCATGAGCCAGCAACCATCATATGATTCGCAGAGGCACCTTTGCTCCAAACAAATTGATTTTATAGGGACAGTTCCTAGCAGGTCTTACGCTGAAAAGGATCATTCAACATGTCTTATAGGCTGCGGTTGTGTGTGCCGAAGCATTTCTCTCGTTTTGGGATTCATGCAACATTGAGAGCCTCTCGAAGCTGCCAACAATGTGGTATCCTACGACGAAAACCTGCCGGGCCTTTCCCGGGAGTCGACTCGATCGAATCGAGCCGCCCCCAAGCTGTCCAAATAGGCGGATTTAAGAGGGAGGGCTGCAGACCTCGTCTAGTGCTTCGCTAATTCTTCTGGCTTGATGTGCTTTGCTTGTTTGAAGCGCAGTGGGCGAATCATGCTTGTTTGCAAAAGGCAAGCGGCTAGCTAGCGCCACTTAGGGAGGCGAGAAAACGAGAGTTTAGCATTCTAGTTCTTAGGCTGGGTGTCGTGTTTCGCAAACAGGTGTGGTGCAGTTCTATATTGATCCCGTGAATAGTCCAAGTTTTTGCTGAGTTTGACTGCTGGTGCAAAGAGCGCACAGCAGCACGGCAGCACAGGTTCGGCTGAACGCCTACAAGCGTGGATCCCAGCAGCAAAGTTGCGCTCCCTGAGCCGTTTCTGAGAGCTTAGCCCTCGGCCAGGCCTGGGCAAGGCCCGGAGCTCAGTGGAGCCTATAGGCTCCGCCGAGGCTCCGCTTGTGCTCTGCTTGTCCGCAGGCATCTTGCCACACTTGGACGGACCCGTGTACTTCCCACGAGCCTTTCGGCGAGCTTTCAGATGGGCTACCGAAAGACAGAAGAATATGCTCTTGCGTGCACCTCGTTTGCGTCTTGCACAAACCTGCGCTGTTTATTGAGATGATCGTGTTTGCGGTTAAGAGAACGCGGCAAGAAGCTCTTTCTCCACAGAGGTCCTGGCTTCTTCAGAAGTAGCAGGAGACAGGAGACTGATCTAGAAAACGAAGTCGTTCCCGATGAGTTCGCCTTTAGAGAGAGACTGAGAAAGAAAGATTGTGCGACACTCCTAGTCTTCGGTCAAGATTATGTCTGCTCCATACGAGCGGGAGCTTTCTGACTGTTTGTCCAAAGATTGAGATGCAGGAGACCTTTCTTGCTCATTCCAAGATCGCACGTTGCCATAAGAGATAACGGAGCTTGGCGAGTTGGAAATTCAACAGCAATGCGGCTTTGGCGTTTCATGGCAGACGCTGGTGCACATGTTGGGGATGAAATTGCATGCTTCTGGACATCCGCGCAGCCTTCGGGAACGTTATTGTAACAAGCTGTAAAGCCTCTAACTCGGGCCTTCGATCTTGGCACTAAATTTCTAAAAGCTTGACTCCGGCGTTAAGGTAAATTGTTAAATCCCTATCGGCCCTTGTGTTGTTCCTGACTGTGCCGCCGCTGCTCCGAGCTTGACTTCTGCTCTCCGTTCGTGACTTGCTCCTGTTCTCGACTCGTGCGGCCGACTCGCCTCCCGTCCACCACTGTAGATATACACTATAACTTTTATGGAAAAGCTGTCTTTCTCCGTTCACTCAGCTTCTCCGAGGCTGCCATCATCAGCCTCGGTTCGCATTGCATCTTCGACTTCTACCCACGCCTGGGGCCTGCTTTTTGGCAGCTTCTACGCCGTGGGTTTTCCTCCGCGTAGCCAGGCTTCGAGGAGGAGCATCCGCGCGGCTTCACGTGGGATCGAGACAAAGAGGCGAGGCCGAGGCTGCAGAGCTTTTCGAAATCTGGGAGAAAAGCGCTTTGTTAAGGTGCCCTCCTCGCCCGAGCTGCCAGCAGGCACAAGGCACACGGACCGGGACGGTCGAAGCACAGCCGACGGGCTGTTGCGCTTGGAAGGCCTCAGCTGAGTCTGCTGCTTGAGCCCGGAAGTCTGTCACGGCCCCGTTGGTGAGCTGTCCATGGTGCCGCCACCAAACCAATCACTGTGAGGCTCGTGTTCTCTGGCGATGCCTTCGTTCGTCATAGGCCGAACATGCTGGAGGCTGTGAGAAATCAGGCAGATCGGAAGCAGCAATGCCAGGCACGGCATCAAAGCGGTGGAGGAGGACGAGATTAGCAAGGAGGCCGTGATGCCAACTGTAGCACAGAAATCAAGGCTCGCCGTCCTCTGAGGTGAAGAATGCCAAAGACATTGGACTCTCGGTCGGAGACTCGCTGAGGCCATCGGGCTTTTTCCCGTCCGGCAAGAAATGTCACGTTTCCCCGCCCCTGCCCGTCTAGGCGTGGAAGAAGAGTCTCTTTGACAATCAGACATTTACTGCCGCGCTGCAATTGCTCCTCGGTCCATCAGCCCCTTGTGCCCCACTCCCGCTCAGTCCGCTGCCTAATTAAGGCAGTCCGATCTTCTGACAGCGAGCGAAAGACGTCTCCTCGCATGTGCAGGGCTATTGAAGGCTGCGGGCGCATGCAAGCGTTCAACTCATCAAGGAATCGCATTCTTGTGGCTCCAAGCTAATTCGTGCAGAATTTGACAATATGAGCTCACTGAGCTCAATGCTCCGGGTGCGACTAGAACATAGTTGAAGCTCGACATTGGTCAACTTGCACGGCCTTAAGGCACAAGCTTGGCGTGTGGATGTTCAGTAAGCGCGATGATGGCGCTGGCGGAAGCAGCAAGGCCGATGCCACGTGAAACTGCGATGTTGCAGATGTCGTGCTGCAGGACGAGCGACACGAGCGACTTGAAGGCCAAGGGCCCTTGGGTTGGGATGTCCTCTTGCTGCTTGCAGCTGGGCCGGCTTGCAGGAGAACGCTTTGGTTCCGATTCCAAGCGTGCAAGGCGAGGGTTCCTGCAGTGATGCGGGGAAGTGAAGGGGGATGTCGACTGGCAGATACATATGTCCCTTGCAGGGTTGGCCGTGGCGCCGAAAAGGCCAACAGGGCCCAGGCGGAGTAGGCCCATCCTACGCGAGATCCAGGCGGGCAGGCTCCGGGATCTGTGGAAGGCTTTTGTCCGGGATCGTTCGAAGGCGGTGTTCCCTCTTTGCGGGAAGGTGAAAGGATCGGGGAAAGAGGAGGAGGAGGAGGAGAGAAGAAGCCTTAAGGGACTTGCTGAGGAGCCGGGTCGAGATCTGGAGCCGGAAGAGCCGGATCCGGTCGATTACCAGAGCCGCTGGAAGCGCTGGACCGCGGACATCGAGTTCCGCCTCGCCCTCTTCGAAAGCCCGGAGAGGAAGAACCCGGAGTCAGGCGGGCGCGGCCAGCTGGACTCGCAGGGCGTGGGGGAGGCTCTGGAGCTGGAGCCCGAGGCCCGCGAGGACCCGAGGCCCAAAGCTTCCGAGACTTCCGAGCCGGACCCATCTCTGGCGCTCGAGCCCGAGCCGGCCCAGCCGGCCGAGCCCACGGGGGAAGAGCCCTCACCGGCCCGAGGACTGGCCCAGGGCGAGGCCGACTTGTTGCTCTCGCCGGAGACTGGGCCTTGGCCTTCGCCGTCTCCCGGAGGAGACTTCAGCTTCGCACAGGCCCTTGACCTTGAGGATGTTGAGGTTCTGGGTACCGATCCCTCAAGTTCAACCTCGCGACCGGCCTTAAAGGAGCGTTGCATCGCCCGATGGTGCTTCCAGCTGCGGAAGGCGCCCTCGCTCCTCTCAGAGCCTTCCGAGGCTTTCAGCCGCCGCACCCTGGCACTCCATCGCCAGCACATCGTGGCAAGTATCCCCTCATCTATCACATCTACCGCATCTGCCCCTGCCTCTCCTCGATCGAGAGAGGGCGACTTTCACAGCCGTGGCCAGCAGTGGCTCGAAGAGAAGCGCGCAAAGGAGCACCATCTTCGAGAGCAGCATCGGGATTTGGAGCTGCGTGAGTGCACTTTCCAGCCAGTGATGCCTTCTCGGGCAAGTCGCAGTCGGAGCGCTGGGCAGAGCGCGCGCTCGGTCTACGACCGGCAGCGACGGTGGCAGGAGGCGGTGAGGGAGAAGCACGACCGCCAGAGGCAAAGACAGAGAGCTGACGATGCAACAGAGCTGGCAAGGTACAAAACGAAGGGGCAGCCACAAGAGGATGTGGAACACGCCTTCGCATGCTTCCACGAGCGAAACCGAAAGTGGCAAAGCATGCGGCAGGCACGTCAAGCACAACAGCAAAGGCAGCAGCTAGAGAGGTCACCACGGAGAGCAAGCTCTGTGGCAGCGGGCACCACTTCACGGCGAAATCTATGCGCTTCGACTCCGAGAGTACGCCCGGCCTGCTCCGAGGGATAAGAACAGGAGAGAGTGAGTGAGTGGAGAGAAAGACACTTGTTGGTCCTCCTCTGCAGGCTCCCGAAAGTGGCGGTGCAGAGACGACGGGAGGACGTGAGCGAAGGCGCTGCCGCCCGGGGCGGCGGGGGCGGCGGGCGGGCCGTCGCGGCGTTCTGTCTCTTTTGCGCCTCTTGCGCGCAGGGAGCAGGAGCAGCTCGAGCAGCTCGAGCAGCACGAGCAGCACGAGCTCGAGGCCCTGGAGGTCCGAAAGCACCTAAGAGCCCTGCGTCAAGGGCTCCGACTCACCGCCTCAAGCTCCTCGAGCTCTCTGCTTGCGCCTCAGACTCGCAGAGAAGTCGCAGAGAGCCTTCCGGAGTCTTGCCTCTGGCCTTCTCCGCCTTTTTCAGGGGCGCTCCAGTCTGGCAGAAAGCCCTGAACGTGGAGGCGCGCCTGCGGCCTCCTTCTCCAGCCGCACACAAGGCAATAAATAGCCTATGTTATATTCACTATGTCTTGACGACGATGATGGACGGTGAGGTGATGGATAGTGATGCAGACGATGAGAGTCCAGGACGCAACTTCTCGTTCTGCCCAGGGTGTGAACGTACTCTACTCATGTCTTTTGCCAGAGCCTCGTAGTGACTGTCGTAGTGGGTCGGAATCAAGTTCGGGGGAGGGCATATTTCATTGATTGTAGATCTTGTTTAGCTGACCTACCGACTTTGTTCAGTGGGAGCATGCTACGTTTCCTAGAGGCGGTCTTGAGGCATGTGGAGATCAGACATCTGCGAGCTCATCCATTCCTGCACTGCACAAACGCCGGGCCTGGTGCCTGTCTTTCAGCTTCATTCACTGAAGCTCAAGCTTTTGCAACGCCGAAAGTGACAGTATGTTTACATACATGGTGCGTGTATAAAGGTACATTGACGTATAGCTGCACATATGCATATATGCACAATATGAATGCATCTATATTAGTATACACCTGCATATCTTGTGGCACCGACCTCTCGCACGAGCTGCCTCCCGACGGCATTCCCCACTTACGTCAATGCAGATCCGTCCACAGTCCTCAAGGTGCAGGCAAGCACCATCACCGAATTTTGCTTTGCGCACCTTGTGCATTGCACAGAAGGCTTCCGGTGCTTTGGCGCCGCAGATCCCCATTGAACATGTCTGTGAAATAGGTGAATGCTTTCAGTTTGATTCTTGGCGTTGGAGCTATTCTCAAGTCGGTGGTGTCAAATGCAACAATGTCACAATGTTTTTCCACAATAATGAATCGGAAGTCAAGCGATGAATAAATTCAAGAAATGCTACTGTATTAGACACGAATATCATTTCGTTTGCCAGTTGAGCGATTTCCAAGGCACGTGGATGAAGCATATGCAAGCCGAGCTTGCCTTTGTCATTGGGCAGGTGGCACGACTTTTTGGCGCCGGGGCAGCGCCACGCCAACACCGTTGATGATTCCAAAAAGACTCAGCCAAGCCTGACCGTCGCGAGGATTTGGCATCTGATTGCAGCGAGCACGGCATCTCGGAACTGTCTTGGCTCGAGCTAGCTAGGGGAGACGCGATATCTTGGGGTTCGAAATGCATGGCGGGTTGCTGAGACATTTCGGAGCTGTCCTGGCTCGAACTAGGGCTTGTGGTTCGAAGTGCACGGCGCGAGTTGCAGAGAAGCTCTCACAGGGCCTTGAGCACGGACGCCATTCTTGTTAGCACGATTTTGGGAGTTCGAGTTTATCCGGCATGCGCTGACTGCCGGCCTGCTGGGGTCTCCCGGGGCCTTAGAAAGTGCAGGGAATGGCTTCGGAGGCCTGCCGCCCAAAGGTCTTTGTCAGCAATATGTTTGGTCGTTGCATTATTTTGCTTTATTTTGGAGTCGAGTGTAGGCCCAGTGTAGGCTTGGGAGAAGCTCTTTGGCGTGGTGGAAGACTTCAAGGAAGAGCTTCGGAGCTGGAGCTCCAAGGCCACACCCCGGCCGCCTCCTAAAGTCTTCGACAGAGTTTTCGATCAGCTCAGCTCAGGAGCATGCGGCTGTGCAACAACAGGCGGAGGCTTCGGCGGGACTAGCTGCTAGCGATAGCTACCTGCGAGCCTGCAGTGCCGGACCGCCGGCCTTGTCCCTCCTTTCAGGAGGCGGAAGAATTGAAAGGCGTCCTAGAGGTCTCTGAGGCCTGAGAGTTGGCTTCCGAAAGTTTGTGTCTGCCTCCCAGCCTTGCAGGAGCCTTGGGAGCACGTGACTGAACTGCTTCGCAGAGCAAAGGCAAGGTGCCGTTTCATTGCGCCGAAGCTGGAGGCTTGTGAGCGGCGTTATTGCAGGCGCAGAAGGAGCAGCTGTCAACGATGTGCGAGCTCCTTCAGAAGCATGCCAAGCTGTTGGAGGCGGGTTGCGATGCAGATTTCCCATCTTGACAAGCCGGGGAAGCCCGGTACATCCGAGGGTTCCAAGGAGAAGCTGCCACAGGCCCTGCAAGGGCCCTGCCTGCCCTGCACCAGAGATCCCTGCGAACACACACTTCCCGCCCACAGCCGCAGGGTGGCAGTTCCGCGTCGGCTGAGGAACTGCACAGGCCCGTGTCCTGCGGACTCTGCTCAACGCTGATTGTGGTGCCGGAGAGGTTTCTTGTGCCCGCTCTCCAGCAGCTCGCACGGACCTCGGGGACTCGTCGCGTTTCTTGAGAGGGGCCACGGGGGAGCGTTGAAGAAAAGCGCGGGGCCCCGCCTTTTTGTTGGTCCGAGTGTTATAGCCGCACGTCTGAGGCGGAGACTCAGAAGCCCGAGGCAGAGGGGAAAGCGGAGGCCATTGCCCCCCCCCCCGGTCCGTCGGTCGACGTCGGTGGGTATGAGCGACTGTTTTGCTCAGAGCTCAAGTCGGAAAGAAGAGAAGTCAGCTCGGCGCGTCCTGCAGGCCAAAGAAACTCATGAGGCCCAAGAGGGGTCCGAGGAAGAAAAGAAGGTCGTTGGGGGTCGCTCTGATCTTCTGACTTCTGTAACGCTGCCCCCACAGCAGGAACCAGTGCCCCGCTGACAGTTGCCGCAAGTGCATACTGACAGGCAAAGAAGAAGGTGGCCAAGCCCAAAAAGAGCAAGACTAAAGAAAAAAAGGGCCGAGAGGCTGGGCGAGTTGAGGCTTGGGCCTGCTTTTGGCCTCTTGGAGTCTTTCCGAGGAGAGGCACAAGAAGTCCAGCAAGGCCCGGAGCTCCGACCCGCAATCCGTTCCGCAATCGACTTGCCGTTCGCCGGCCTCCTCCATGCTGTACAGCGATCCAGGAACTCGAGTCCGACGGATCGCAGGCGCGGTTTGTAGCGCCAACTTCCTGTCGGATGCCAGCTTTTGTCCAGGATTACTCCGACTATAGTAGCTACTCCAGAACCCCAACGCCTCGGCCCAGACGCAGGTGCCACGTCTGGGGCGGTTTCATGCCTGTTTCGCGGCTCTTTTCCAACAGCGATCGCCTTGACGCACAAGGCGGAAGAGGCGCGTGCGGCGTCGGCGCAGGCCCAGCCCAAGCTCGCCAGGAAGCCCAGAGAGCAGCGGCGTAGCCCAACGCGCCTCAAAGACTGGGGGGAGGGGGGGGCATGGCCGACGTCAGGTATAGCTACACGCCTTCACCGCGGCCTCGTCGGAAGCGGCGTCGAAACCGGGAGGACTGAAAGCATGTTGGTACGGCCGACCATGGGCTAGACGGCTCGGACAGAAGGCAGCTTCCCACATTCGGGTCCTTGCCTCCGTCAACTAGGAACTTCACAGGGCTCTATGCCGGTTCTTTCACGTCTCCGATTATCATGCCAGCACCTCGAACCCTGCAAGGAAGCTCTCGACAAAAGCGCTGGGCTTCGAAATCGCACGAAGTGCCGTACATGCAGAAAACTCTTGCTTCTGTGCAGCAGAAACAACCAGCAGAGATTCTGCCCAAATGCAAGAGTCGCAAACAGCAGAGACAGTTGGAAAAAACGTGCAACTCGCATAGTGTCCACATACCAAGCCTTCCGCGGCGGCGAAAGGCGCACATGCCAAGAACAGTACCGTGATCTCGCATAGTATTGTTTTGCACATGGAGAGTGTTGTTTTGTCGACTGTGTGTGATTCCAGAATAGCCGCTAGGCCTCTAGACGGAACGTGACGTAAGTTCTCGCGTCAGTCTGCTGGACTCAAAGTGCGCCGTCCCGAAGCTATAACGGATACTCCTGATGGGGGAAACTGCAACGAGAAGCGCATGACACGGTGATCAAAGAAGCCTTCGAAAGAGTCACTTTGGAAAGTTTACAGTAGCATCAAATCAAAACCGCGGGTGAGAAAAAACACATGCGATGTCTCGACATGAGCTGTAAGCACAGCACTGCCATCTAATGCCGCTTCGACGGCGGGGTCATCGGGTCATTTGCGGTGTATACGGTTGAATTATCGCAAAAGCGATTCAGCTTCAAAGCATGCCACTTAACAATGACTAAAGCGGCAAGCAAGTCAGTCTCATTTCTTCACGCGAGGCGTGCCCTGCCAGCTTCCGCATGATAGCCAAGTTGAAGCAGATACTGTAGCCGCTCCAAGCCCGTAAAGCAAGAATGCTCAGCTGGTTTCCATGTCCGCCGCAACTAGCAAGGACAAATTGGACGTCGATGGAGAAATTGATCGCTTTGTCAAGGCAAATGATGGCTTTGCAGATTTGAGAAGACATTCTCAGATGCTGTAAGAGCCATCTGTTGTTACCTTGCAATCTTGGAGCAGTGGCATTCAACAATTCATGACTTGTGCGAGGTGAACAAACTGGAAGAGCGATGCGAGAAAATTCTGCGAGATCTGGATTCGTCGTTGGCTTGCAAGGCATCTTGAGTTAATTTGCGTGCCCAACTGACTGTGAAGTGCTTCTGAGTCGCTGTGTCTGTGCCTGTGGTATATATACAGTAAAGCCGCGTTTCGTTTCGGCTCGTTTCGGTTTCTCGGATGGGTTTTGACTCGGTTTCGGTTCGCGCGGTT